AAAACCGTCTATCTTTTGCTCCCAAGCTTCAACACCGAAAGAACCAAAAACCCCAAATCCCATCTCTGTAAAAAACATCCATCGTTTGCTCCAATTTTCAACATTGAAAGAACCGAAAATCCCAAGTCCCATCTCAGTAAAAAACCATCCATCTTGGTTGTAAATAACCCTAAATCCTATCTCTGTAAAAAACCATCAATCTCTGTTAAAAAACCCCAAATCCCATCTCTGAACCGGTGTACCTTTTCTTTTGATTCTAAGCCTGACCTCAGTTGCATAAATGGAAGAACATGGATGAGGAAGAAGAGTTTCAGAAATGAAATAAAATGGCTGAGAAAGAAGAGTTGTATGGTCTGAAATGGAAGAAATTGGATAACGAAGAAGTGTTGCAGAAACTAAGGTTTGGGCTTTGGCCATGGTGCAATTTTCTCTCTCTAGAGGTCAGTTGCAACTCATTTCTACTCCACCACCATGCTTGGCTGCCTGCATAAGTACAGCACTAGCTTCGAGTGAGGCAAGCATTTTCTCTCTCTCTCAAATGGAGCTGGTAGGACTTGTACGAGGAGAGAGCATATGTTATTGTGAGAGGAGTGCAAATATGCCTCCCGCCCACCCTTGCTTAAGCACCCTGTCCCTCTGTGAAACTCATTTTAATATGTGCACACCATCCAAACAGTCCAACAAATTAATAAAAAAAGATGATAATATTTATTAATAAGGTTGAAAAAAATTACAATTTTTTTAATGGGAAGGTTTTTTTATTTGACATCCAAACTGGCCCTTAAGTTTTAAAAACCCATTTTAGAAATTTTAGATTTAAAATCCTTTATTAAAATCCATATATATCATGGTCATTTGCAGGGGGGCGATTTTAGGATGTATATCGCTCACACCAAATCCCTACCGTTGATTATTGTCCTACCAAGAAACAAAAAACTTTTTAGTCTCTTTTTGTGTGATGTCAGGGAGCGGGTCTTGAATATTAGATGAGCGTTGGCATATAGTTATGGAAAACCGTTAAGAAATTCATTATGTTTTCATTAGGGCCTCATTAAGACATTCCAAAAATAATTAAAATTCATTGAATCTTCTCTTTCTTTTGGTAAAGGTTCAATGTTAGACTCTCTCCCAAATGATGCCACTGTGAAGATATCGTTCCAGCTTATCACAAAATCCATAAATCTATGGCGCATTGAGAAGGAGATATAACAAAAGAATAATCTTATGGCATCCTATCTCCCTCACCTCTCCCTCTTTCTGATCATCAGTGTTGTTGCTCTTTGCACAGGTAATTCTCTACTTGATCTTTTGCTTCTTGTGTTCTGGTAAAGTTCCTGGTTGCTGTTTTTGAAAGGAATGTACTAAAACGGGAGAGATACAGAGTATCATGCTCGTGAGCACATTGTAAATTTACTCCCTTGGCAAAATCCAATCTTAAGATTAAGAATCAACTTTAGGTTCATTAAATTGGTATTCACACAAGTGATTGTCTACAAGAGACTGTTTATCTTTTATACATTGAGGTAACAATCATTCTTGTCCCTTAAATTTCAAATGGGTGATTGTAAAAGTGTTGTGGAGTAGACATAAAGTTCCAAAAAAAGAAATCATTTGGACTTTTTGACTCACCCCAAGCCATCGAGTTTGACATCTAATGAGTTGGAATAATTATGACCTCCATGTATAAAATATAAATGGTCTCTTCATAGACAATTGATTTATAAAAAGAAGAAGATTGGAGTTTAAGTTCCCAAAAAACATTATATTCTTTAAAACTTGGGTAGTCTCTAATCAATATATTGGGGAGAATTATTTGAGGCATATACATAGGGCATTATTATTATTATTATTATTATTTTATTGTTTTTTGGAGTTTGGTCCCTAGATATTATTACAACCCCAAAATTAAAGGTCCTTGAAATGCTCGGGTTTTACTGAGGCAATGAATCTACCATGCGCTTTGGCGAAGCATACAATCATTTTTTACAAGAAAAATAATAATTTAGAAGCATATAAAGCTTTGGAAAATTATTTCATCCAGGCTAGACCGTATTTCTACAATACGCGGTCCAGAAGATAAAGCATCCACCTTTAAGATGGATGTAAATAGGTGGTCCATCTAAAAACATATGTAAATAATGGTCCAAATGTTTTCTTAATATCATTATTATTTATAGTTTTCAAATTATTTTTATTATTTTCATATTTATGATCTCCATGTTAAGAATTATATATTTTCTAAACCTTAAGATCATGTCCCGAACTTTTTCCTTAAGCATATAATCCTTTCGGGAGCATATAATCTAAATGTACTAAAGCCTTATCTAGCTGAATCTATGGATTTTGAGGTGGTGAAAATAAAAGCTTATTTGATATGCATTAAGAATTTTGGAAGGTAAAAAACACTCGGAAAGCTTTTTACGTTACCCCCACCTACTCTCAATTGTTTGATCTGAATGGACGATTAAGAGATCTCATCTCACGCAAAAATACTTTTGATTTTTAATTTTTTCTTCAAAATATTTTTGAGCAAAATTTTTCAGCACAAAAATAACTTTTATATCATTTTTATCCTGTGCCCCCTTATCAGATGTATGCACAAAATGATTTTTATAAATAAACATTAAAAAATGAAATACTCTAAATCATAAAAAAACGAAATACTCTAAACTATCAGATCAAGATCTAATGCTCAAGAGCCAACTTATGAGATTGTGACTCATCAACGCAAGTCACCCTGGTCATCTACTCTGATCTAATGCAGGAGTCACATATACATTATATGTGAGTGGGGTCACATTCAAAGCTATTGAGGGTATTATATTTGCAAGCCAAAATTTACCGAAAATTCAACCCTTAACCATGTATCTAAATTTCCTAATACATCTCTCTCTCTCTCTCTCTCCCACAGTGCTTGGAAGCATGGTGGAACCATAAAATAACTTACTGTTGCACCTCCACAGGCATCTGCTCCGATGACCGCTCATTCTGCCTTAAATATTGTCCCTAAGAATCATGCCCCCCCCTTTCTCACTCTTCTTTGTTTGCTGAGAGTCCATAAATATATAATGGTGTTTAATTTTATATTGGTTATATCCTTTTGATTTGTCTCTCATTTTTATTTTGCTATTCTTCCTCTGTTCTTCCTTGCTATTTTAATTTTCTCTCTCCATGCGAAGGAGTTTAATATCAATAATGATCATAGTTTCAATCAGTGTTCTCTGTAGATAAAGCAAGAATCACATTAAACCAAAGCACTAATAGGTACCAAGGCACTAATGGGTGGTTTAGGTGGACCGGGCAGTCTGTCCAATCTTGACAACTATAACTTGAATCATTAAACATTAACGACAAAGAAAACTCTTTTTCCTTCTTTGAATATTAATCACACCAAAAAACTCTATGACCATTTTTCCTTTATTTCATAGGATTAGAAACGTTTTATTCATGGGGTTTCCATGAGTCAGCCAACTCATAAAAATTCTATCTTTAAGATGGATTTTTTATTCAAATTTGTAAGGATTCATGCTCTAGGCCCAGGTGGTCATGAATATATATATATAAAAAGACAATATTAAAAACACGGAAAGGTTTATTTAGAGTCAAGGTTCACTAAAGAAGTACATATGCTCCAATCTATATCATTTTATAATTTTTAAATTTTATAAATGAGAATAAAAAAAAAATTTTGAAACAATCATAAAGTTTTCCACCCCCAAGTAAATTTTACTAGTGCACCTTACTTGTACGGTAACACAAATCTCACCCTTAATAAAAAAAAAAAAGGTCGGAGAAAAATACAACCTAAAAAGTACTCTTTCACACATTGGATGTAGACCGTCTATCAGGCTACGGGTATCTTTTCACCCTAAACTTTGCTAACAACCATATTCATCATGAAATGAACAATTCCAAAATGAAAAAAATTATAAGTGAGTTTCTCGAGACCTAGTCTCGACGCCCACAATATGAATGGCTGAAATATTTTTTTATTGGAGTAGATTTATTTTGACCATTTTATAATGTAAAAATTCAAATTTTTATTATTTTATTATTATTATTTTTTATTTTTATTTTAAAGATTGATAGTTGGGATAAAGACAGACGTGCGCTGACTCACAAAAATTAGCCCTTTTTGTCAAACCATGTCCCTAGGTTAACCATGAACACATTCAAATAACCTCCATTTTAAGAGAGAGAAGGTCCAAATTGGCTCATATTAAAATTTGGCTTGAAAATCAAATCGTGCTATTTTAGCTTATTCATTGATTGATATGGATGCATTCAAAGACTTCAATGCAGAGGAGAGAGAGAGAGAGAGAGAGAGAGAGAGCAACTACTAGCAGTTGCGAACGCAAGCATCCATGGTTTTGTAGCATAAACCATGACCAGAGCAGCAGTAGATCGGCGGTTGGTGAAGGAAATGAACGATGCTGCATTCCCTGAGCGCAAGGGGTTCTGGGCCACTTCGTACTCT